TTTTTTTTTTTTGAATTTTAATTTTTATTTTAAATTTCGTGAAGAATTTCGATGTGACCCTGAGGCAAAAGTTGTTCAGTTTATGTTTCTGCATAACATAGGTTCTTTTCGTTTTTTCTTTTTTTTTTTTCTTTTTTTTGGGGGGGGACCTTACTTGATCCTTGCACGGGCTGGCCACCCGGGACCCGGGCGGCCCGGCTGGTAGCCTAGATGACAACTGATAAAAATGAACCTTGATAATAAGCAGCGAGACTCGTATACCCTGCTGACAACATCCTAATCTCTATCAATAAACATGGTGGCAACAAAATATGACGCGTATAAATGAGACACGATAAGGGGACGGGAGAGGATCCAATTATCGGATCGGGCATCCTTTCTATCATAAACTTTTACGTATTCGAGATGGGGAGCGTCCACCACGTAAGGGACACGTGACATGTGAAAACTCATCTACTACTAATTGTCAAAATAAAAGCGACAAAAAAAAAACAAAACAATGTCTGCTTACATCATCAGGTTCAATACTGCATATTTTTCACTGCAAAAGTGTTTGCCAAACAGACCTGCAGACATTTTATGTGGCGTTTTATCTAGCTTACTCTGCTTGGATGAGACCCCTCTTCCTTCAGTACTGTGGTTGCCATGCTCCGATAGGTGTAAGTGGGCCAAAGGGGAGCAAAATGAAATGTAAGGAGTGTAAGGAAAATTGGGGTTCAAGTACCCTGATGGTGAGGACTTCACCTCCGATCGAAGCATTATGATCTAGAGGCTTCACCTCTCGAAGCCAGGACAACTAAAAAAATATATATTTTTTTCAACTAAAGGGACCTCATTTTTTGTTTTTCTTTTTCCCTTAAGCATCCGCATGTAAGGAGTATCATGAAAGTAGGGGCCCAAGTAAAAAATGAAGAATAGTACACCCATTGAGCTGACCTTTTACTAAAGAATATTGTTGGAAATAATTATTTAGTTTATTATAAGGGATGTTAGGGACTGAACCTAAACATGTTTTATCAAGTGTTTTGGATATTTGAGTTTGCGGCCGGTAGGAAAGGTGTGCCCCCTCTGTAAGTCAATTTTTATATTTTTTGCCTTGGTTTGCCTGGATGTGGCGATTGATTTATGATTTTGCGTCTTGATTTAGGTTATTGAAATAATAATTTGATTGCAATATTTTTTTGTTAAATGCTTTTGAGATTTCAAGTGCTTTTGGTTTGCTTTTGTGCAGTGGTTTGATTCATTAGTTTTTTCTGGTTGATGTTTTTCATCCATTTGCAATGTCAAACTATAAGTGAGTTTCCAGAATTGCAGGGTGGTTGTTTATTAGGTTTTGGTAGTTTGTATTAGTTAGTGCTTTTACTTTTTGTTGGATAGGACGCGTTGGTTAGTGTTTCATATTTCAACTTTTTGTTGCATCTATATCAGTTGCTGTTTTAGGCACTTGAGGTGCCGACTTAGGCATCAAAAGCATGGATATAGGCATTATAGAGGACATCGTTATAGTTCGCATGTAGTTTGCTATCTTGTTGGGGCCCCGCAAATTTTATTATGTAGCTTGTAGGAGTTGGGAAGGGGCTCTGTGCTCGCGCAAGAGTAAGTCAACATGTCTGTTTCATCCATTTGCAATAACAAACTATAAGTGAGTTTCCAAAATTGCAGGTGGTCGTTTATTAGGTTTGGTAGGTTGCATTAGTTAGTGCTTCGTGTTTCGTGCTTTTACTTTTTGTTGGGTAGGTCACGTTGGTTAATGTTTCATATTTCAACTTTTTGTGGCATCTATATTTGTTGTCGTTTTAGGCGCTTGAGGTGTCGACTTAGATGTTGGGGAGGCATGGATGTAGGCAGTGTAGAGGACGTTGTTATAGTTTGCATATTGTTTGTTATCTCGTTGGGGTCCTGCAAATTTTGTTATGTAGCTTGCAGAAGTTGGGACGGGGCTTTGTGCTCGCGTGAGAGTAAGTCAAAATGTTGTCTCATCCTTTCAAATTGTTTTAATTGTAATTATTGCCTTGAGCACTTAGCCAGGACAAAAGCAATAGTAGAGTTGCAGTTCTGATAAATAAAAAAATAATAATAAAAAAAATGGGGGTCCAAATGCCCTAGCGAAAGTGGGGGCCCAAGTGTCTTAGCGGTCAGGGTAACACAACCCTACCTCATCTCAAAGCATTACTACCTCATGAACCGACCTTCCGAAGCGGGGGTGGATGCAAAGAAAAGCTACCTCGAACTCAAGCAACCATAAATTTTGCACCTTTGAGGTTCCACTAGAGGTCGTACAACCTGAGACATATATGAGGTTCGACAAAATGGGTTCGGTTGCAGCGGTGATATAAAAGGGAATTCCTAATGGAGGCATGTGTGATTGTTTGTAAACTGAGGGATGACAATTTTCACTGGAATATAACAAGGGTGCAAGGTTCCGGTAATTCTGCTCGTGTTCCATAATTGCGATGGTTCGACCGACACCAAAGTCAGTGTTCCTCATGGCAACCAGCGATGATGAAATTACGAAGTCATCCCTCAATTTATGCCTTTGGAAATCCGTACGAGCCTCATCGGAATACAACAAGGGAGTAGGGTCCCGGTAGTTTCGGTGGTGTTTCAGAACTACGATGGTTTAATCGACACCGAAGTCAATGTTTTTTATGGCGAACAGCGACGATGAAATCACGAAGTCGTCCCTATGTTACAAACAATCGCACATGCCTCCATTAGGAATTCCCTCTTATACCACCGTTGCATCCAAACTTCGGAAATCGATACGAGCCTCACGGGAATACAGCAAGGGAGCAGGTCCGGGTAGTCCCAGTAGTGTTCCAGAATTGTGATGGTTTGACCGACACTAGAGTCAATGTTCCTCATGGGCAACTGCGATGGTGAAATTACGAAGTCTTCCCTCAATTTACAAACAATTGTGCATGCCTCTATTAGGAATTCCCTCTTATACCACAGTGCAGCCGTGAAAGGTATACGAGGGAAATCCTAATGAAGGCATGTGTGATAGTTTGTAAACTGAGGGAAGACTTCGCAATTTCCTAATGGAGGCATGTGCAATTGTTTGTCAACTGAGGGAAGACTTCGTAATTTCGTAATGGAGCCATGTGTGAATGTTTGTAAATTGAGGGACGACTTCGTAATTTCATCATCGGGGTTCGCAATGAGGAATACATCATTGCCATCAGGAACACAGACTTTGGTGTCATTCAAACCATAGCAGTTCCGGAGCACTACCAGGACTACCGGGCCCCTGTGCCCTCGCTGTATTCCGAGGACTTCATAATTTCCTAATGGAGGCATGTGAGATTGTTTGTCAACTGAGGGAAAACTTGGTAATTTCGTAATGGAGCCATGTGTGAATGTTTGTAAACTGAGGGACGACTTCGTAATTTCATCATCGCGGTTCGCAATGAGGAACACATCATCGCCATGAGGAACACAGACTTTGGTGTGGTCAAACCATAGCAGTTCCGGAGCACTACCAGGACTACTGGGACCCCGTGCCCTCGCTGTATTCCGGGGACTTCGTAATTTCCTAATGGAGGCATGTGCTATTGTTTGTCAACTGAGGGAAGACTTCGTAATTTCGTAATGGACCCATGTGTGAACGTTTGTAAACTTAGGGACGACTTCGTAATTTCATCATTGCCGTTCGCAATGAGGAACACATCATCGCATGAGGAACACAGACTTTGGTCCATAGCAGTTCCGGAGCACTACCAGGACTACCAGGACCCTGTGCCCTCGCTGTATTCTGGGGAGGCCCGTACCGATTTCCGAAGCTGGACCCGTGGTGTCCGAGTCTCTGCGTGGCTCGGCCTTCGGTCGGCCGCGCACTGAAGCCGGTAAACCTCGCTGCTTCCTGGTCGTCTTCGCGGGAACTTCCAGGTCGCCAGCGAGGACGATTTCCAAAGAAGGAAAGGCTGAGGAAATGAGGGCACTGCGCTGTACGATCAGGTTTTGCCGCTGCTGCTCTTCTCGGCTTCAAGGCTTGCTGTGCGGTGAGGCATGCTGTGAGCGATGAGCCAAACAAGGGCGAGACTGCATGCCATTTTGGCCACCCCGCCTTGGCAGACGGACACAAACACAAGAGCAAGGAAGAGCGGACCGCTTCGCAGTTGGCGCCACAAACGCCACGATTCTACCAATAGTGGAAGAGTGCCTCTCGCGCTCAATCCGTCCAGAATCCACGGATCTCGCGGCTTTTGATTGATTGCGAATCTTTGAGGGAGCTGCACGGTTGTTGGGAGTAACGCGAAGAGGAAGAGGAAGAAAGAGTGGTTGCAAGGTGAGGATGGTGGGGACGCGAGTCGGAGTGTTGGGTCCATTCCCACGTTTTTTGCCACGTGGCGTATCGTGGGCACGTCCTCGACATTTACTACGATGAGAAAGGCGGGACCACAGCGCTGGGAGCCAAGCCAGCTGCAGCGCTGCGATTTGCCGGGCCGCGTCACTTCTAAGTTCTAACGCTCTGAGTGTCTCACCGAGTTTGCTAACTTGGCTGCTGCCGGCTTATGGTTTTCACTGTATTCGGGCAGTGTGTACAATTTCCGGTATTCCCGCCGCCCGACTGCTCTCTCCGGCATCTTTCTGATCGACAGTTCAAACCTTCGCTGTATTCGGGCGCGAGTCGCTTCAGTCCCTGGGGTAGAATAGGAAGGAGGAAGGGATAGCACGGTCCGGTTTGCCGCGCTTGTCTGGCCCCTCTCTCCCGCCGCCATGCACTTGCGGCTTGGATTTCCAGTGATTTTTCATGCATTGTAGAGCGCTGAATGGCGCCATGCGGTCGGATACGAGGGGAAAGGGCGGGTTCGTTAGAGGAACAGATGACCGTGTTTTGAATCTGGTAGAGCGAGACACCTGGGCGCGTTGGCGGGGAAAACACGAACCTCCTCGTTTGACAGGCGGTATATATTTCTCAACGGCGGGGCGGGGCAGAGAGAGGATGTTTTCTTGACGACTGCCAAAGCGAAGCGCAGAGCAGAGCAGAGCAGAGCAGAGCGGCGGATTTTGCCCGAGGAGATCGTCTCGGGAAGAGGTTGGACGTGCAAGTGCATGTGCATAGGCAGCATAGGTGATTTGCACGACGCGCCGGAATGGACACGTGTCGCCGTGTGGCGCCGTGAATTGTGTGTTCAATTACTAGTGAAGCAATCGGGTAATGCAGACACAGATGCCAGATGAGAACGGTAGACTGGCCGTACGTAGCTTCGAGAAGTCAGAACAGCACACGTACAAGGTGTCAGCTATCCTCGATCGTCATTGATCATGGATCGTTCATCTGAATCATGTCAGCAGCGACCGACTTAAGCAGATGGAGCGATACTAGACGGAAGGGAAGGTGGAATTAGGAGTCTCAAAAGTTCCTCACGATTCTGTCAAGCATGTACGTAACATAACCTCCTAATCCGATTACGGGGTGGTAAGGCCTTGTGAGGTCCTGGACCTTATAGTAGCGCATTACTGTTTTGACTACCTCTGGTTGCGTGGGTGAATCGGTTTGTGTTTCCCATCATCGCACACACACACAGAGGAGGGGGGGGAGAGACACAGAGAGAGAGAGAGAGAGAGAGAGAGAGAGAGAGAGAGAGAGAGAGAGAGAGAGAGAGAGAGAGAGAGAGAGAGAGAGAGAGA